AGAAAGCTATCAGTTTTCTGGAGAAAGCTTTAGGCTAAGTATATCTTCCCCAATCCCTTCTCCCTTAAGGGGCAAACACTATTTTGAGATTTTTTTTTTTTAAATCTGCCTATCCTAAAACTACCTGGACCCATCTATCCCCAACACCATGTTTACCTTGGCTCTCTCTCCAACTTTACAATGATGCACTACCCAAAGTATCCTGCAGTTTGCTTCTTTCTACTCAACAGTTCTCAAATTCACCAAGATTAATGTGTGTGGCTTTTGTTCATTTTCTCTTCTGCCTAGAATTCTTGTGTGTGAATATACCACTTGTCACTTATCCATTCTTTCACGAAGACATTTAGTTGTTTCCAGTTCTTTCCAGTTGTCTATGAAGATGTTGCTTCCTGGGTGGATTAGTGGTGTGCACTTTTTTTTTCAGAGTTTATATTTAGAATTTCTCAATTGTAGAAGGAAGGCACATTTCTTTAAGTGGTATGTGAATATCCCTTGACTCACCTCCTTGCCAACACTTGGGAATATCAGAGTTAAGTATCTTTGCCAATCCACTGAGTATAAAAAGGTATTTTTATTTTGCTCATAATGTGCATCTCCATTAAATCAAGTAATTTTTATGTTAATAGGCTAGATGTGTTTGTTGGGTTACATGTGCTATTGATGCAGACCAGATTATCTCTCTGTGGCCCTGCTCCCCACACACACCATAATTAAGCTTCTCTTTTTGTCAGAAAGATTTTTACAAAGAATGTCAGCAGGATTTCTACATACAGCTCAGTGTTGTTTGAAGCTTCTACTTTCTAATAAACACCAGGTTTGCACACAAAAGGTATGATAGACCATCTCAAGCTTGTTGCTATACAAAAGATACTGATTTCTTGGTAAAAACTAATAAGACCTCTGTGTATCGTAAGAATATGGGACAAAGAGCAACTGTTATGTACCACTCACCATCATGTAACCACCCTGCTGAGTATAAATCTAAAAGAATTTCCAGACTTGGGGTCCAGAGATTTTTAGGCATTAACCCCTCTGGACCACTGTAGCTTAAATAAACTCGCTTCCTGAAAATTCCTTGGGTGCCCAGCCTCATTTGTCCTACATCACTATAATTATCTTTTCCTACTTTGAATCTTGTCTTTCACTGTCTTTTGAAAAAAATTTTGCATCTATCCAAATTTATCAGTCTTTTTCTTTAGGGTTACACTTTGTTCCTTAAGATATTTTTCCTTAACTAAGTTCTCAAGACTCTTCTATATTTTCTCCTAAAAATATAATTCTCCTGTGGGAGCAAGGCCACAGAGAGATAATCTGGTCTGCAGCAATAGCACATGTAACCCAATAAACACATCTAGCCTATTAACATAAAAAAATTTTCTCCCACCTTTTTAGTTTTCTGCCTTCTTTGTTTTTATTTTTATCAAAATTATAAATGTACATATAGAGTCAGTGGCCTATGGATCAGCCAGCCCCTACACTCCATAAACCTAGAAGTACTCTACTACAAGAATTAGATAAATCTAATCTAGATGAATCAAGAGTCACAGATTTAAAAATCCTTTCCAGGCATCAACAATTCTTCCCCTTGGATTAACTGGATGCTGCTTCCAGGTGCAACCAGGGATTTGGGGTATCTTTTCTCCCTAAGACTGATAAGACTGATAAATTTGGATAGATGCAAATTTTTTTATCAAAAGACAGACAGTAAAAAGACAAGGCTCAAAACAGGAAAAGATAATTATAATGATATAAGACAGATGAGGTTGGGGCTGGGGATATGGCTCAAGCGGTAGCACGCTCGCCTGGCATGCGTGCGGCCCGGGTTCGATCTTCAGCACCACATATCAACAAAGATGTTGTGTCCGCCGAGAACTAAAAGAAATAAATATTAAAAAAAAAATTCTCTCTCTCCTCTCTCACTCTCTCTTTAAAAAAAAAAAAAAAAAAGACAGATGAGGCTGGACACCCAAGGAATTTTCAGGAAGCAAGCTTATTTAAGCTGCCAAGTTGTGAGGCTGGCCTTGAAATCCTCGTGCCTCAACCTCCACAGTAACTGTGATTAAAGGCATGTGTCACTGTACCCACTCCCTATAATTACTTATCTGCCCTTCTTTATTGGGCTTATGTGGCTCCTTGAGTGTTTAGTTGGTTGTAGTTTGTGTACTACCTAATTGCTCCAGAAGTAGAGAACAAATCAGCACAGTTCCCACTCCCCAGCTTCTCAATAGGATTAGATTGCCATTTGGGCTACACCAATATTTGTGTTTATTTTAAGTTACACAGTAAAACTATAATTACTTATCCTTTCCTGCAAGTTTTTGCCTTGTATCCTATTCTTAAAATTGACAATGATCTTTTTATTTTACTCAGTTTTTTATTCATTTGCCACTTATTCAACCTCAAACTCTATGTCTAAATGTCTCTCATTAACATTCAGATGCCTCAAACAATTTATCAATTAAACCTCCCTGGTGTTTTCCAGAGCTTCTGGCCTCTAATTGGACTAATCACCCTCTCTGCATGGTTCCTCACATTCTTTCTTTTTCTCCTTCTTCTTTCTTTTCTTTCTTTCTTTTTTTTTTTTTTTTTGCTTCAACCTAGGGATGTTTTACCACTGAACTAATTCCCAGCTCTTTTATTTTATTTTTGAGACTGGTCTTACTAAGTAGTTTAGGGCCTCACTAAGTTGCTGAGGCTGGCCTGAAACTTGCAATCCTTCTGCCTTAGCCTCCCAAATTGCTGGAATTATAGGTGTACATTACCACTGCCAGATCCACACATTTTTATTGAGCCAACAATGCACTAAACATTGTGCTCAGGTTCAACAAAGGAAATAAAACGGTCACAATTGCTGCCTCCCAGGAGCTTACTATTTAATGGGAAATTCATGAAGAAACAAAAATAACAACAACAAAACCCCCCAACAAACTCCATAGCTATGAATTTCCTATTCCTAGCTATTTTCTGGGCTCTGGAGTTGGTGCCTGTCCGGAGATGGCAGTGGTGTGTGTGTCTCTGGAGTGTGAAAGGGCTGCTTCCCAATTTCTTGCCTGACTAACACTCACAACCTCCCATAGTGGGAATGCTTTGAAGCACCTTCCACATTTTCTCAGTTGGCCCTTGTCTCATGAAACAAAGCTGAGTATTTTTCAGTCTAGCTCCACCTGCCTCATAGTTGAGATTCTATGTGGGGAACAATTGTGAAGCTGGATAATATTGTGATGAGAATAGGTCAGAAACTGCAAGAATATGTAAATTTAGCCATACCTCCTTTGAAACATGTTGGAATTTTGGACCCCAAGCTCCATGCAGAAGTTTAGAAAGTTGGGTTGAACTGTGAAAATAGCTCTGTTTCTGTGAGTCCAGAGTGGAGTCTTAATCTCACCAACACAACCAAAGTAAAGCCACCACCATCAGAGGAAACATGCCCAAGAACAGAGAGGAAACGCACACACACACACACACACACACACACACATTTGCATGCACAGAGATTTTACCCTAATGCCCAACAGGGGATGGCTTAGGCTTTTAAGTATTTCTGGGCCAATCATGGCTCTCTGAAAGGTATAGGAGAGGAACAGGCAGGCTAGGGATGTTCAGACTAAGAAAATTAGGATTCCACATCTATGTATCTTATATCTCTAATCCCCATAAACTATAGTCAAGTCAGATTTAAAAAATGATCTCCCTGTGAGCGGGTGGTAGAATTTCCTTAGATGAGTATCTCCACCTTGAGGAGTTGTAAAAGCTGTGGTGATAAGCCCAGAGTGCTCCCTAGAGGCTATAAATGGTAGTTTTACTTCCTTGTGTGCAAACTCCCAAATCCAAGAGATTTAGTGAGAAATCAGGAAAGTGGAAGGCTTCAGAGCCAGTAAAACTAAAACTAAAATTGTAAGTTAAAATTACCCAACTCCCAAACAGGTACAGATGTAGACCATGTTAACAGTTCAGCTTGGCACAACTAACTGGCCAGGAAATCATTTGGAATACACAAAACACATGGGAGTTATAGTTAAAACACTCTACCTCTATCATAAAGGCCTCACCCCAAACTGTATATATTGGTGGTTACTGGAAGTCTCTGCTCTGGGTGGAAAGAAGCTGCCCTCGGGAGAGCTGCTGAGTAGGCTGGAGTCCAACTTCCAAGAGGAGACAGAGTGGTTGACTCTCAGGTTCAAAGTGAACCAGGTCTAGGAAGAAGCTGCTCAAATGTGAATCCCACCATAACTCAGGACCCGGGCAGTGTTCAGCCTTGGCCTGGGCTACTGATACTCTGGTAAGAACAAAAACAAGGGAGAAGAAGCTCAAGGTCCTGCCAGGCCTGGGCATACTTTCATGGAAAGGTACTAGTGTAGGGGCTGGTATGGTGGCTTCTGGAGGGGGAAAAGTAGCCTGACGGCTGCTGAAAGGGGTTTATCGACACTAACCTTCTTAGCCCTGAGTGCCCTAATGCTGGGGGTTTGTTGAACTTACAGTGAGGTTGCTCAGCACCCTTCTCCTTCAACCTTGGGACTTAGTTGTACGTTGCCATAGGGGGAAATTTCTGCTACACTTTGTCAGGAACTGGGTTAAGTGCTTTATGTATATTATCTTTTTTTATCAATTCATCTTTTTCATATTTTTGTCTAAGTTATAAATATTGGTTTCATGTGTGGTGAAGAATAAGGCTTCAATCCTGCAAACAAGAGGATGAGTGGAGGAAAACCTGCCGAAGGTGGTTGGTGGCCTTTCTTCCCAGCCCCTAAAGCCAACCACTGGGGCAGGCAGAGGGAGGCTGAGAGGAGTCTCAGTGTTTCCAGTGTGTCCCCTAACCAGACACCTCCACAAAGCTCACCACAGAGCTCTTACCATGCTTCTTACCACCCCATGTTGTGTTTCTAAAAAGACACGACACATTTCATTCTAATAGCCCATTTCCCTCCATTGATTAGACATGTCAGGCAGACACTGCCCAGTTCCCTGCTCCTCTCCAGATGGAAAGAAATGACCCGCTGCTGTTTGCTTTACTATAAATCAATCAAAGTTATTTATTTTCTAAAAAGTATAAAAACACATATAAAAAGGGATTCACTCTTGGCTAAAATTTAAGAGATAGTATCATTATAATGTACAGCTCTGTGGACAAGGCATCTATGGAGAAAGGATTGCTCCCAAACCATTTGCATTCTAACTGCTACTCTGCCCCAGTCTTGAGAAGTTACTATTTCTAAGTTACACACGAACAAAGAATAAGCTTTATTAAATCACACCCATAAAAGCAAGGATTATACTTCTTTAGGTTCCTAAGATATAATTCCAAGGCTCAGAGGAAAATAATCTTATGTCAGTCCCAGGGAACTTTTCTCCCCAAGAGTCGATTGGTCACTTTCTGTGGAAGGAAAGAAAGGCAGAAAAGAAGTCAGGTACTCTCATCATCAGAGGCAATGTCTACTCCTCACCCGAGCCACGTTGCTGAAGAGATCACATGGTTCTACCCAAATCTTGTTTACATTACTCAACCATATAAACTATGGCAATTAGACAAAAATATTTCCTGAAGCATTTAGGAAAGATGATCCTAGACTAAACACCCAAATAGTTTACAGTACACAGTGACAGCAAGGGACCCAGTTCTGCAATGCTAACACACTAGCCAAGCTCTGTAGTACCAGGGGCCTTCCCTTTGAGGCAGTCAATCAGGCTCTGGGGCATGCTCCAGAGACTGTTCAGCCCCACATCAGTTTGGTTATGATTTGGTCTTTTGGTTTCTGATTTTCAGAGTCCTATGAGGTGTAGTGAGAGAATTGGGAGGGAAACAAAGAGAGTGAAGGACATGGCCTTTCAGGAGCTAACTGGTGGCAAGACCCCTTCCCTGGGAGGTTCTTGGACTTGCAGCCCCACTGACTGCACTGGAGCTATGGCCTCTGACCACCCCCCACTGACATCTCTTAGGCTACATTAAGACATGTTCCAGTGTATTAAGATAGTTCTAGAGGTAAATCACCACTTGGGACTTGGACAATTCTGATGTATTGGACATTTCCAACATAATATCTAAATTGCATCCTATATATGAAATTTGGTTTCATTCCAAAAGCATGTAAAACATGCTACACAACTTAGGCTGAAGAGCTAAACCTGATATGAAACCTAATCACAGGTGCCATATGTCTGAAATTTCAGCATTGGAACAGTACACTCCACTTCTCAAATGTGGTTAATTCTGACTGAATGCCCAAATAGCTCAGACTATTTCTCTCCATTTCTCTCTCCCTAGAGAAGCCTGATGATTCCATTCTAGTTGGAGTACTGACCCAACTGACCGTTTTATATAGCTGAGCTCGCAGCCGATAGGACTTATATTCCAATTTCCTCTTCTCCTCTTCTTTCTTTTTCTGTACTTCTGGGAGTTGCTGGTAAATCCTTAGGAATGGTACCAGTAGAAACACAGAAAGCACTGAGGTTACCAAGAGAGAGGAACATGATCTCTTACTGCACCTCCCTAAGTTCCACTGCCCTCCAGACATTCAGTCCCTCAGAAAGGCCCAGCCCCTGTTGCACACCCAGCTTCCTGTTAAGACACTTGACAAAGAGACCCTTGGGTGCTCACAATCTGGAAGAGATGGATAAAAATATGATAAAAAATTGCTAACAGTGGTTATATCTGGGAAAAGTATAGGATAAAAGGGGAGACAGTGAATTTTTGTTTTCCATTTTACATGCAAAAATGTTTCAATATAAGATTATAAATAGGTATTACTATTGTATTTTTAAATATAAGAAAAAAAATGGAAGAGAAAAAAACTATAATATTTATATCTACAAAATGCTACAGAGTTATAGGAGAAAAAGAAATTGATTTAATGGAATCTGGGCAGGGAAGGATTCAGAGAGATTTTAGATGGATCTTGAAGAATAATTAGAAGCTGAAAGAGAGGAGGAGAAGGGAGGAAGGGTGCCCATGTCAGGGGAAGTGAGTACTGGTAAGAATGGAGTCAGGGCTGCATGAAGAGCAGGGCAGAGGAATAGGTGGGAAGCAAATGGCATGAGGGTAAGGTGGGCTGTGGAGGGTCATATAAAAAATTAGGTTCTATCCTGTGTAGGATTAGGTGCCACTGATTTGCAATTGAAATGAATACAGTCAAATGTATATTTCAAAATACACTGGAAAAAATCTAAATGTCCAACAAAAGAACAGATAAACAGAAAATGAAAGATAATAGAATAATATTACAAAGCATAAAACAGATGTTTTAAAGAATTTTTGGTGACATGGGAAAATGTTCACAACATAATGTTGAATAAGCTAGAATAGGACACATACCTGTGTATACAATAGGATGGACAACCTGGGGAAAAAGCATGCATTATACAGGTCTCTGCAAAACCCCTATTCCTGTCTCCAGAAACAAGAGAAGTGTTAATATGTTTAGAAGGAAGAACTCTTTATTTTACCCTACTTTTAAAAAAACAATAGTTCTCAAATATTTCTATGAACTAAAAAAAAATAATAATAAACAAAGCAGAAGCTCTATGGGAAACAGACCAGTGAAGGCACAATGAAAGAAACACAATGAACAAAACAATGGAAGAAACACTTCCAGATAGAAGAGTTCAGTTCTCTCTTCTCTGAATCTTTCTTCTCAGTAGAACTTTTATACATCTTTATCAGAGATGAGTGATGAGGAAAGATGATGAATAACATAAGCACCAGAGATGCAACCCCTTGAGGGGATGCAGCAGCAGGGGTACTAGATGGGGAGCCAGAAGCCTTCACTCTAACCCCAGCTCAAACCCCAACTTGCAGGGTTACCCCCGCCCCTCTACCCATTGATCTCTATGATTCTCAGATGGTAGTGATTCACTTTCTTGAAAAGGGGCCAAACAAGAAATAAAAGTTAAAAATGAAAATTATCAGTTTAAAACTAGAATCAGATTTCTCCAGAAGATGGAGACTTAACCCCTCCTGTAAGTATATTTATGATAGAAAGAATCAAGGCCAGGTGTGGTGGTGCACACTTGTAATCTCAATGACTCAGGAGGTCGAAGCAGGAAGATTGTGAGTTCAAAATCAGCCTTAGAAACCCTGTCTCAAAATAAAATATAAAAAGGGCTGGGGATGTGGCTCAGTGGTTAAGCACCCGAGTTCAATTCCTAATACCCCCACTCCCCCGCCCACCGCCAAAAAAAGAAAAAAAAAATCAGTATCTTAGAGAAGATGCATTGCTTATGTCCCTGTAGGAAAGCTTCACAGATTCTTAAGCAAGGTCTTCTCTTGCTGAGATAAGAGTGTAATTAACTGCCACACAAGGAACCCTGTATAATTTATCCAAATTAAATTTTGTGGCAGAGTTAGAATAAAGCAATGGTTCTCAAATTTTTGGGATGCAGGGATCTTTTACACCCCTAAAAATTGAGAACCTTGATGTGGCTTTTATCCATTGAGAGCATATTAAAAATTAAAACTAAAAACTTAAAAATACTTATTTCTTAATTTACTTAATAAACAAGATGTCAAGAAGAATGCTTCAATTATACAGGATAAGCTGCTTTCAAGTACTACTACTGGAAAAGGAGATGGAAGAGAGTGGTGACCAGAAGTGAGCTCAGGCCAAGTTTGCTTAGAACTGAATTCCCTCACAGACTGCAAAGAGTCTGAGGGAAATGCAGAGGGAAAGCAGCTAGCCACAGATGAGTGGAATTGAGCCCTGCGGAGTTCTGGCAGCATACAGAAGCAGTTTCAGATCCTGTGGAGATACAGGGTGCCAGACCACCACCCGCGTCCCCACAGGGCATCGGTCAAAGGACTGAAGTTTGGACTTAGCTGAGAAACAGCCCAGTTCCCTCCTCCTCACTGGAGACCGAGGCGCAGAAACGGCCAGTTGCCATCTTGGAAAATCTACCCCCATCAGCTTTGGGCAGATCGCACTGGCAGCAGATAGGAAACAGAACAGGTGTGTGACCCTGAGCCCCCACATCCACCCAGCTAGGATAACTCAAAAACTTTCTTGCCAGCTCTCGGTTGGCTTGAAAATCAGAGCCGAGTAAAACTGAAAAGGCTCCTGATCTCCATCTCCCCTTCCCCCCAGCTGCAATAACCAAAACCTTTCTGGACGCTCTGGGTGGGCGTGGCTATCAGAGGGAATAAGTCAGAACAGGCTGCCGGTTTCCAACTCCCTCTCTCCACAGCTGTGATGACTGGGTGATTACCAAACAAAGAGAGCGCTCAGTTAATCAAGGTTCAGGGCGGCCAGGGCGCCCCACGCCCAGAGTGAAACCAGAGCTGTAGAGAAGTATCCAAGTAATTGGGGCCTGGAGGGCAGGAGAAGTGAGGGGGATAGAGACTGGGAGCAACCCAAAGAGACCAGGATTGGAGAGGCACCCGGCAGGGGAGGGAGAGCCACCCCACACGGATTGCTTCCTACATCCTGAGGGCAGAGACTCAGCTTGGAATGCACAAGGACACCTACTGGAGGAGAAGAAAACAGAATTCTAAGAGTGCATTTTTTTCTTTTCTCTCTTTCTTCTTTGTACTTTTCTTCCTTCTTCTCTTCCCCTCCCAACCTCCCAAGTGTTACTACTTCTACTAAGTGTAATTTACTAAATGCAAATAGGTGAATGTTTCTATGCTTTTTATAGTCCTCCTAAGTACTTAGCTACCCCAAAATACTCCTGTCTATTCTCCTGTTAATACCCTCCTTTATTAGAGCTCTCCTCCAAAGTAGCTAAGATATATAAACCCCCATATCCTCACATCTTTCCCCCTAAACATAAAGTCCTACGTCCAACCCTTAATTCTCTATATGCCACCAGAATCTGTATGCCTTTTATGAAACTATGAATTTACTTTAAATTACATTTGAACCCAACATCTCTAGATATTGTCTTCCATCACAAAGGAGAGATCTCGGAGCTACACAAAAGCAAAACAAATTTATAGGAGAAAATAATAACATAGCAGTCACACAGAGCTGGAGAGAAATGTGAGCATCACGAAAAAAAAAAAAAAAAGGAATAAAAGGAACTCAAACAATGTAGGACAACTCAACAATAGAGGAGTTGGTAGCCATAGCAGAGAAAATGACAGATAAAGATTTCAAGATATACATGATTCAGAAGATCTGGAGTCTCAAGGAAGACCTTATACCGCAAATGCAGGCAATGAAAGATCACTTTGACAATGAATTACATAAACACATCCAAGAAGCAAAAGAACAAGTATACAGGGAGATAGAGGTTATACAAAAAAAAAAAAAAAATCAAACAGAAATCCAGGAAATGAAGGAAATTATTAACCAAATTAAAAACTCAAATGAGAGTATCACCAGCAGAGTAGACCAATTAGAAGTCAGAACAACGAAAACAAAATATATCATCTCAAAAAGAGTCTAGTCAACTCAGAAAGGCTGATAAGAAACGAGCAGAACATCCAAGAGATTTGGGATAACATTAAAAAAAACAGATTTAAGAGTCATTGGGATAGAGGAAGGTATAGAGGTCCAAATCAAAGTAATGAGCAATCTGTTCAATGAAATAATTTTAGAAAACTTTCCAGACATGAAGAATGAAATGGAAATCCAAATCCTAGAAGCGTACAGGACGCCAAATGTACAAAACCACCAGAGACCCACACCAAGACACATTATAATGAAAATGTCCAACATTCAGAACAAGGAGAGAATTTTAAATGCCACAAGAGAAAGGAGGCAGATTATATTTAGGGGTAAACCAATTAGGTTAGTGGCTGATTTTTCAACACAAAAACTGAAAGCTAGAAGATCCTGGAACAACGTATTTCAAATGCTGAAAGGTAATGGGTTTCAACCAAGAATCTTATATCCAGCAAAATTAAGCTTCAGGTTTGATGATGAAATAAAAACCTTCAACGATAAACAAAAGTTAAAAGAATCCACAGCTAGAAAACCAGCACTGCAAAGCATTTTGGGCAAAACATTACACAAAGAGGAAATGAAAATCAACAATGAAAATCAACAGTGGGAGACAGCACAGTAAAGGGAAAAACTAATCAAAGAGGAAAAACAAATCAAGTTAAATATCAAAAATAAACAAACATGGCTGGAAGTACAACCCATATCTCAATAATAACCCTAAATGTTAATGGCTTAAACTCACCAATCAAAAAACAAAGGCTAGTAGACTGGATTAAAAAAAAAAAAAGATCCAACAATATGCTGCCTACAGGAGACTCATCTGATTGGAAAAGATAGACACAGACTGAAGGTGAAAGGTTGGGAAAAATCATACCACTCATATGGACCTTGGAAGCAAGCAGGGGTGTCCATTCTCATTTCAAATAAAATAGACTTCAAGCCAAAGTTAATCAAAAGGGATAAAGAAGGACACAACATACTACTAAAGGGAACCATTCACCAATAAGACATAACAATCATTAATATATATGCCCCAAACAATAGTGCAGTTTATGTTCATCAAACAAACTCTTCTCAAGTTCAAGAGACAAATAGACCACAACACAATCATCTTGGGTGACTTTAACACACCTCTCTCACCACTGGACAGATCTTCCAAACAAAAGTTTAATAAAAAAACTATAGAACTCAATAACACAATTAATAACTTAGACTTAATTGACATATATAGAATATATCAACCATCATCAAGTGGATTCACTTTTTTCTCAGCAGCACATGGATCCTTCTCAAAAACAGACCATATATTATGCCATAGGGCAACTCTTAGCAAATATAAAGGAGTAGACATATTACCATGCATTTTATCCAATCATAATGGAATGAAATTGGAAATCAATGATAAAATAAGGAAGAAAAATTCCTACATCACTTGGAGAATGAACAATATGCTACTGAATGAACAATGGGTTACAGAAGACATCAAGGAGGAAATTTAAAAATTCTTAGAGATAAATGAAAACACAGACATAACATATAGAAATCTATGGGACACTATAAAAGCAGTACTAAGAGGAAAATTCATTGCATGGAGTTCATTCCTCAAAAAAAGAAAAATCCAACAAATAAATGATCTCACACTACATTTCAAAGCCCTAGAAAAAGAAGAGCAAATCAGCAGCAAATTCAGGAGAAGGCAAGAAATAATTAAAATCAGAGCTGAAATCAATGATATCGAAATAAAAGAAACAATTGACAAACTAAAAATTGGTTCTTTGAAAAAAATAAATAAGATTAACAGATCATTAGCCATGCTAACAAAGAAGAGAGAGAACACAAATTAATAGCATACGGGATGAAAAAGGCAATATCAAAACAGACACTACAGAAATACAGAAGATAATTAGAAATTATTTTGAAACCTTATACTCCAATAAAATAGAAGATAGTGAAGGCATTGATAAGTTTCTCAAGTCATATGATCTGCCCAGATCGAGTCAGGAGGATATACACAACCTTAAACAGACCAATCAATATTAAGTGAGGAAATAGAAGAAGCCCTCAAAAGATTACCAACCAAGAAAAGCCCAGGACCGCACAGATACACAGCAGAGTTTTACAAGACCTTTAAAGAAGAACTAATACCAATACTCTTCAATCTATTTCAGGAAATAGAAAAAGAGGGAGTACTTCCAAATTCATTCTACAAAGCCAACATTACCCTGATTCCCAAACCAGACAAAGACACTTCAAAGAAAGAAAACTTCAGACCAATATCTCTAATGAATATAGATGCAAAAATCCTCAATAAAATTATGGCAAGTTGGATACAAAAACATAGCAAAAAGATTGTGCACCATGATCAAGTGGGATTCATCCCCAGGATGCAAGGCTGGTTCAATATACAGAAATCAATAAATGTAATTCACCACATCAATAGACTTAAAGATAAGAACCATATGATCATCTCGATAGATGCAGAAAAAGCATTTGATAAAAATACAGCATCCCTTTATGTTCAAAACACTAGAAAAACTAGGGATAACAGGAACTTACCTCAACATTGAAAAAGCTATGTATGCTAAGCCTCAGGCCAGCATCATTCTAAACGGAGAAAAATTGAAGGCATTCCATCTAAAATCTGGAACAAGAAAGGGATGCCCTCTCTCACCACTTCTATTCAACATAGTTTTGGAAGCACTAGCTAGAGCAATTAGACGAAAGAAAGGTCCTATAGTTAAAGGTATAACTATAGGAAAAGAAGAACTTAAACTAGCACTATTTGCTGATGATATGATCTTATACCTAGCAGACCCCAAAGATTCTACTAAAAAACTTCTAGAACTAGTAAATGAGTTCAGCAAAGTGGAAGGCTATAAAATCAACACCCATAAATCAAAGGCATTCCTATATATCAGTGACAAATCCTCTGAAATGGAAATGAGGAAAACTACCCCATTCACAATAACCTTAAAAAAATACTTGGGAATCAACTTAACAAAAGAGGTGAAAGATCTATACAATGAAAACTACAGAACCCTAAAGAGAGAAATAGAAGAAGACCTTAGAGATAGAAAGATATACCTTGCTCATGGATAGGCAGAATTAATATTATTAAAATGGCCATATTACCAAATTCAATGCGATTCCGATCAAAATCCAAACAGCATTTCTTGCAAAAGACAAAAAGCAATCATGAACTTCATCTGGAAAAATAAGAGACCCAGAATAACTAAAGCAATTCTAAGCTGGAAGAGTGAAACAGGTGGTATCACTATACCAGATCTTAAACTATACTACAGAGCAATAATAACAAAAACAGCAATGTACTGGCACCAAAACAGGCTGGTAGACCAATGGTACAAAATAGAGGACATAGAGACCAACCCACAAAACTACCTTATATTAATCAAAGTGCTAAAAGCATGCAATGGTAAAATGATAGCATCTTCAACAAATGGTGCTGGGAGAACTGGAAATCCATATGCAACAAAATGAAATTGAATCCCTTTCTCTCACCATGCACAAAAGTTAACTCAAAATGGATCAAGGATCTAGGAATCAAACCAGAGACTCTGTGTCTAATAGAAGAAAAAGAAGGCCCTAATTTCCATCATGTTGGGTCAGGCCCCAAATTCCTTAATAAGACACCTATAGCACAAGAGTTAAAACCAAGAATCAATAAATGGGACAAATTCAAACTAAAAAGTTTTTTCTCAGCAAGAGAAATAATATGTGAGGTGAATAGGGAGCTTACATCCTGGGAACAAATTTTTACCCCTCACACATCAGATAGAGCTCTAATCTCTAGAATATACAAAGAACCCAAAAAGTTAAACAACAAAAAAACCCAAATAACCCAATAAACAAATGGGCCAAGGACCTGAGCAGACATTTCTCAGAAGAGGATATACAATCAATCAACAAATACATGAAAAAATGCTCACCATCTCTAGCAGTCAGAGAAATGCAAATTAAAACTACTCTAAGATACCATCTCACTCCAGTAAGAATGGTAGCCATTATGAAGTCAAACAAAAACAAGTGCTGGCGAGGATGCGGAGAAAAAGGTACACTCAGACATTGCTGGTGGGACTGCAAATTGGTGCAGCCAATTTAGAAAGCAGTATGGAGATTCCTTGGAAAGCTGGGAATGGAACCACCATTTGACCCAGCTATTCCCCTTTTCAGACTATACCCCAAAGACCTAAAAAAAGCATACTACAGGGACACAGCTACATCAATGTTTATAGCAGCACAATTCACAATAGCTAGACTGTGGAACCAACTAGATGCCCTTCAATGGATGAATGGATAAAAAAAAATGTTGCATTTAGACACAATGGAATATTACTCAGCACTAAAAAATAATAAGATCATGGCATTTGCAGGGAAATGGATGGCATTAGAGCAGATTATGCTAAGTGAAGTTAGCCAATCCCTAAAAACAAGGCCAAATGTCTTCTCTGATATAAAAGGGGTGACTCAAAATGGAGTAGGGAGGAAGAGCATGAGAAGATGATTATCACTAAATAGGGAAGAGAAGTGGGAGGGAAAGGGAGGGAGACGGAGAATTGCACGGAAGATGAAAGGAGACCCTCATTGTTATAGAGAATACATGTATGAAGATGCAAGGGGAAAAAAAGAGAAGTGTGTCACATTAGATTGGGTAGAGAGAAGTGATGGGAGGGGAGGAAAGGGGAAGGGGGGATAGGAAAGACAGCAGAATAAAATAGACATTATTATTGCTGTATGTATATATGTGACTATATGATCATTGTGATTCTGCAACCTGTATACTCAGAAAAATGGGAAATTATACCCCATCTGATTCAAATGTATGATATGTCAAGATCATTATCCTGTCATGTATAACTAATTAAAACAAATAAATTTTTTTTAAAAAAAGAACTATTACTTCATGGGCTAGGGTTGTGGCTCAGTGGTAGAGTGGTTGCCTAGCACAAGTGAGGCACTGGGTTCTATCCTCAGCACCACATAAAAATAAGATAAAGAGATTGTATCCATCTGCAACTAAAGAAATACATACTTAAAAAAAACCCATTACTTCAGATGCATTGTGCCAACTACAAAACTTTTATTAAAACAAACCTCTAACAAAACCCTGAAGTGTGGTTACACTTTAACCTAGTTAACCTAGTTTTGCATGGCATTCTCACAATCAATATATGCCTATCTAAAAAAAAAAAAAATTAACAATTTATATATATATGAATATATATATATATGTATATATATACATGAATATATACATATATATGCCTATCTCAAATTATTTAGTTAATTAATGAGTAGCTAATGCCTGAAATGGCACAAGATTAAATAAGTATAAGGAAATGAAAAACTGTTCTCTCCCCTACTTCAGCATCCCAGCCATTCAGTTCTTTTTCCCAAAGGCAACCTCTATTACCAGTTTGTTGTATCTTCCAGAGATATTTTATACATATAAAAGTAAACACATCTTAATGAGCACAAGTATTTCTTTTTAAAAACCTCAATGCAACCACTCTACCACTGAGCTTTTAAAACTTGATTTTTTAAGCTTAACTTAATGTCTTGGAGAACACTCCATTATTTCTCACTCTATTAAATAAATTTCTAGAAATAAGATTGCTAGGATAAGAGGCACAGCCTCAAATAAATGTTTAATTCTACTTCAGAAATCTATTATCTAGGTTTCCAATATAGATAAGCCTAAGGCATGCAAATCAGTGGGGATTCTTTCATCTTTTGTATGTGAATCATTCATACCATATCTGTTATCTATTTTGTGCAAAAAGTAAGAAGCTACATTCACATCTTTCTCATAATGTTTTCACTTGACTATAATACTTTTATTCTTTCATAATTAACATTGTCATTTTGGTCTTACCGTTTAGACCTCTGGATCATTTCCTTCTTTCCAATAGGCTTATTCTGGGCAGCCATGAATACTAAGCAAGAGAAGAAGCAGTTTTCAGTGGATAGTGACTTAATAAGGGTGGCACTCTACGGCTGTGAAAGAGAGATGCTGGACTTTGTGCCCTAAGGAGGGTGCAGTACAGGGTGGTGAGCAATGAGCAATGAACAAGGTAAGCCAAAGCTTGGATTAGAATAGGATGATTGTGACAGTAGCCTAAGGCCCTTGAAGATATAGCACTCTACAGACCAGACACCTGGAACTGATAAACGAAACAGTTTATAGGTAAGGCTATGATGACAGCCTTGTTAGTATTTTATAGTTTTCACATATGATTTTATTGAAATCTCAGACTTAATATAATTTTTAAGAGCACAGACTCTCGAGCCAGTCTACCTTTATTTAAATTCTAGTTCTTTTACCTCTTAGGTGTGAAACTTGGGCAAAATACTTAATCTCTCTCTGCCTCAGTTTTCTGTGAAAATGAATATGAATCACACCTACCTTAGAAAAGTCTTATCAGAACAGTGGGCAAGATGTAAGTTTATTACATGTTTATTATTGGTATTGTTACTGTTACCACTTTAGGGTGGTAAGTCAGAACTGGCTCCATTTTTAGAGGAAAAAAATTATATTTTTGGAATTAACTTGCCCACTGACACAGAGCTGGTTTATTTAAAAAAAGAAAATTTCACTGAATGTTCTCTTTTTGAAATGCAGCAACAGCGTTAGCATAGCTGGGCTGACTTGGATCATGAAAATGCTAAAAACCTGGTTGGGCCAATTCTGCTAACTGACAAGATTTGAGTCTCAGCAAGCAAAATGTTGTGTCCAGTTCTTCTGAGTGGCCCAGCATTCAACTATGTTCCCCAGCAGAGCAGCAGCTTTGCTTTCTCTAGCCAATGACAGGAAAATGACAAGAAGGCGTACCTCTCCTAGGTTGGGGTTGCATGGTATTGAACAGCACATCTCGCTCACTCTCGAACATGTTCTGCAGCTTCCTTTCCTGGACTATTAACTTCAGGCGCTTTATCCGCTCCCCAGAGCGGGAGATGAAATCAGGTCTGTGAAAATGAAGTGCCTCCTACAAAAGAGAAAAAGCCTCAGCCTCACATTAATGATGTAGTCTGCTTTCCAAGTGCCCAGAAAAACAGTACCTGCTTAGCAGCATTGAGGGGCCTGTTTCTTTCTTTAAAAAAAAAACAAAAAAAAAAAAACGTTTATTATATTTTTAGGTGTAGATGGACACAATACAATGCCTTTATTTTTATGTGGTGCTAAGACTTGAACCCGGGTCCTGCCCATGCTAGGCTAGCGCTCTATCGCTGAGCCACAATCCCAGCCCATGGGGCCTGTTTCTAATGCTCAGAGAATACCTGATACCTCTCTGCAGGGGAGCTCTAGCAGAGAAATCAAAGGGATCTAAGATGTGCTTTTGGAATAAGCCAAGAACTAGGACTGCGGCAATTACAACTCTTCCAAATGTTAATGGCGCAGAGCTCAGTCCATTGTGCTATTTTAAATTTCTCTTCAAACAAATATATGAATAAAAAACTGCAGACCTGCTGAAGAAAGAGGGTCATGTGACTAAGCCTCAGAATGTCAAGTCACAGATACTACTTGTTCATGTCTTGCCCTCCCCGCCATAAACACATGGCTGAAGTTAATTTGTCACTGCACCTGCAGGGTTGCTCTCACAAATGGCTTCAGTAGACCTCGGCCATAATCTCTGCCTGGGTCTGCCAGTGTTCCCCAACCCTCCATGCGTTGTCCTTGCCAGTTCTGTTCCCGCAGTGGTTCTCTCCAGGGTTTAGTTTTGGTTATTGGTTCAAACCAGGAGATACCAGGACCACAACTCTTCAGCAGATTTTCCTTCTTAGATCCAGACTTCACATTTTCCACAGGAACAAACCATGAAACTCCTACAGGAAATATTTTTAAGAAGGAAAAAAAAATTGTTTTTATCACCCCACCCAGTTCTCATCAAAGATATATATATATATAAAATAAAGATTTCCAGGGGGCTCAGCTATCAGGGGCCCCCAGGGTACCCTTAAATCTGTTTTAATTGCAGGTATGACTCTGTAAATATAGTTCTAGATATTCTGAAAATTTACCATCATGATGGCTGAGGGTAGGTGGAGTCAATATGGAGTTAGTTAGAAACAAAGAATCTTAGCAATGCAACAGGTTTAATTCACTAGTTTTTCTGCTGTAAAACCTGGATGTAGAATCTGACCTTCACAGGAGTTCTTCTTGTTCTTCTTTAACTTTTTGTCCCCAAGATAATTGGTAACAGGTATTTTCTCTTCAATTTTTTCTTCTAACCAAGAAGTTACATCGCTATCCTCTTCTAATCTAGCCTCACTAGAGCTTGGAGTTGGGAAAGTCACCCCAACATCACGAGTGTGTTTTCCATCACCATGTACAATCTCCAAGTTACCTGAGGGAAAAGATCACAGATGTCTGTGGGAGCATTCTTGAGGTTTAGTTCAAAGATATATTGCCTTTTTTGTGGGGTATGTGGGAGAAGAGTGAGAGGAAGAAAAATGGAGAGATGTAGAGGGAGAAAGAGATGGAGGGAAAGGGAGAAAGAAAGCGGGTTTTAACTTCTAAGCCCGTTCAGAATCAGAGAAAAAGAAGAATTGAATGGATTTAGTAGGTAAGGAATTTTGATTCCAATCCCAAGATAGTAAAATTGTACAGTCCTATTGGCAGTCACCCAGCTAAGAGGTTGATAGCAGTAAAGAGAAGACTTAATGGGGAGGAGGTTGGGGGTAAAAAACACCCAAGAAGGAAGTTTTTCTTTTTTAAACTTTGTTTAAAAAAAAATCAAAAGATACAGAAAGGCATAAACTTGAAATCTTCCTTCTCACTAGTTCTCCATTTACTTTATTTACAACCTCAGGATTCCAGAAAATTATTTTTGTACATTCAAGCAATTCTCTTCCCTCCTTTATTTTTAAAAATATACTTGTAGTAGCATAATATATACTATTCCATACCTCTGTTTTTCTTTTAAATCATGTATCTTGAAGATCTTTCATTATGAGTATAGAAAGAGCTTCCTTCCTCATACTATGTAGGATGTCATTAGTGGAAGTACAGTAATTTATTTAACGATTCAGTTACTGATGGATATCTCAGTTTATCTTAAATTTTGGCTATAACAAGCAGTTAATAGTTACTTTGGACACTTGTCATTTTTGTCAATTTGCACATATCCAAGTATTTCTATAGGCTAAATTCCAAAAGTAAAAATGCTGGGTCAAAGGAATTTTAATAGAAACTACCAACTTGCCTTTCACAGGATTTGTACCAACTCATACTCCCACTAGTATGGTTAAGAGTGCTGCCTTCCAGATATTCTTGTTCATAAACTTGAGTTTTTGCCAATTTATAGGTGAAAATGGTATTTGGCCATACAGGTAATTTTAATCTTCATTTCCCTTATTATGAGTGAGCTTAACTATCTTATATGCATAGAAAGGCTTTTCAATGGAAAAGTTTGAATTCAAGTGATTTACCTGCTTGTATGCCTTTGTTTAACATGTGCACATTTTCTTCGTTGCAAAGAGTAGAGTTCAAGCTCAAGAAACTACTGGCACATGAAACAGAGTCAGAAGAAATCATATGGTTTGCCACCTAGAAAAATATAAAGGTCTACATTAGAGTTCCTTATGATCAATGACACAGTTAACTACAACATAAACAAGGCTACAGGTCCTCTAAAGTCCCTTTTAATCCAATTCAAATTGTTGAGATGCAGTTGGAGGAAGCTTGAGACACATTACCACATGATAGGGAGAATGCTATTGTAGTTGGAGAGGGCCCAGACTACTGGGAAACAAGGGAGAGAATTGAACAACAGCAGATGAGGTAGAGAGGGAAGATGGGAGGGGAGGAGAGGGGGGATAGTAGGGGATAGGAAAGGTAGCAGAATACAACAGTCACTAATATGCCATTATGTAAAAATGTGAATGTGTAACTGATGTGATTCTGCAATTTGTATTTGGGGTAAAAATGGGAGTTCAAAACCCACTTGAGTCAAATGTATGAAAGATGATATGTCATGAGCTATGTAATGTTTTGAACAACCAATAAAAAAAGAAAAAGAAAAAAAAAAAAGAAAAAGGGGCTGGGTGTTTTCCCAGGGCTTGAAGAAACTTAAAGATGCTAACCAAATGTAGCCTGATGCATCTGCAGAATGAAATTCTCAATTGACACCTATATATCATTTTGATGTGAGATAAAAAGGTCTAGGAGATCTAAAGAAATTGATGTGCTGCAGATTAAGATCTTCTCCAAACATCAAAGAGCTGCAAGGCTCCATGAGAAGTCATGAAGGGAGTATTGTAAAAGGCTTGAAAAAGGCCCAAAGACCATTTTAGTTATGTTCAGAGCAAGTAGAGCAATGAAGGATAAGTTAAGGGATAGAAGCTGATATGGAAGGCTTGTGGATGACAAAAAGACCATAAAATACAGCTGAATGAATAAAGTATAAAAGGGTATTTCTTAAACTTGCCATCACAAAAAATGTCCTGGGAGGTGGGTAACCCATAACAATAATTTGTAATGTCTACGGGAGGGATTTGGACATCTATATTTTGAATAAATGCCAAGTGATTTTTTTTTTTACTTAAACAAATTTCATAGATTTTAATTGAGGACCAAGTCGGGAGAGGAAACAGAGATTTTGCTCCCTTGGAGCAGATAAACTATAATCCAAGATGCCCAGGGAACTTCCAACAAAATCCTGGAGAAAAAGAGTTATGTTTGATTTTCAGAAAGATGAGCATTGCAAACATGAGTTTGACACTGATGCCCTGTAAAATTTAGACCCCTGATCACCAATTTAGATAATCTGAAAGCATTTGAAAGTCAAAGAAAAGATTAGCAAATTTCAGCCTGGGTTCAGTAAGGCAGGCAAAACAAGTGCCACTATATTAGCCTTGTTTTCCCTAGTAAATATGGTCACTTGATTGGCAGACAAAAAGAATGTATAGTAGAATACAGCTAGATTTGAACAAAACATCTCATGGCACAGTTAAGGGCAAGATAGAGTTATATGGGTTGAATGATAACTGGTTAAACCAACCTTACTCAAATATTGTTAACACAGAGAGAATTCTTTATGGAGCAGTATAACTTGTATTTCACAACAAATATTAACCTAGCATCTATAATGTTCTAGTCACTGGATTTGGCTCTAGATATTCCTTCTTAATATTTTACAGATGGAAAATGCAAATGTCTTGAAGGTATGGAAAGGAGGAGAAATTCTATATAATGCACAAGTGTGCCTTTAATAGCTGTCAGGATTCCAAATAATAATAGGAATGATGGGCCAAGTCAAACAAGAGGATATTTAGCAGGAATAATTATAAAGGATTGCATATTATGCAAGAAGAATGGTAGCAACTTGTGATCTGGAGTTCCAAAACCTGAGCCAGTCTCAGATCTTTACTTTACCAGTTGTCACATACACCACAATTGCTTTGTGCTAGTAGTTTCTCCATTAGGAAATAGGAATAAAATTTTCATTTTTGAAGTTACAGAAGCATTAGAAAGAACAAATGATTTAGATGGTAAGCTATAAGAAACTAATATAAAACTATGAGTCTACAAGGATGTTAAAAAAAGTGTACAAATGCAGAAAGGACAGTGGGAATGATTTGACAGGTAATACACTACGTCTTTTCTGCTGCTGTAAAAATGAGAGAAAAAGCATGTAGGTGCTGGAATGCACTGACCTTCAAGACAGATATCAATGTATAAAAAGCAAAGTATACTGCCATTTTTGTAAAAAAAAAAATAAAAAGTTACAAAATCTATGTAGGTATTTGCCTTTCTGTGTTTGACATAGTGAAAGAAAAGAATCCAGATTGGAAAGAAGCAATGACATGATCCTATCTACAGAAAATACTAAATAATTCACAAAGAAATACTATAACTACTAAGTTTAGCCAGGATGCAGAATATAAGATCAAGAAACAATCCAAATGTACAATTTAAAAAAAAACCAATGATGTTTCTATAATTAACAATGAGCAATCTGAAAAAGGAAATTAAGGAAGCAATTCCATTCACAAAAGTATCAAAAAGAATGAAATATTTGGGAAAAAAGTTAACAACAGATATGCTAAGTTTGCATACTGAGAACTATGAAATATTGCTTGGGGAAATTAAAGATCTAAAGAAATGGTGAGATATCCCATCTACATGAAATGGAAAATTCAAAATTTTGCCACGGTGCTTCATCCCCCAATATTTTATTTTGAGAAAGGGTCTTGCTAAATTGCCAAGGTCAGCCTGGAACTTGTGATCCTACCTCAGTCTCTCAAGTAGCTGAGATTACAAGTGCGTGCCACCATGTCCAGCTTTAGCAAGCTTTTTGGAAGCAAACTATAAACTGATTTCAAACTTATATGGAAGTAAAAAGGACCAGAAGAGCTAAAAATTATTGAAAGAGAACAAGGACTAAGACTTATTTTTTAAAATTTCAAAACTTAGTATAAAGCTACAGTAATCAAGACATTGTGGTATTAGTACAAAAATAGAAAGACATATCAATAAATGAAACAGAACTGAGAGTGCAGAAACAAATTCTTACATTTATGATCAATGGGTTTTATCAAAGGAGCCAAAGCAACTGAATAGAAGGAAGGACAGTCTTTTGAACAAATGAGGCTGGGACAACTGGATCTCACATACCAAATGAATGTAGACACCACATCATATACAATAATGGACTCAAAATGGATGACAGACTTAAGTAATAAGAACTAAAGCTATAAAACCTTTAAAAGAAAACACAGGGAAAAAAACTTTGTAACTAGTTAGGCAAAGAATTCTCAGACATAATACCAAAAGCACAGTCCATAATTTTTTTTTTTTTTAAACTGGACTTTCGATGGTCAAAAGACATTTCTAAAATAAAGACAAGTAACAGACTGGGAGAAATTATTCGTTAATCATAATCTAAGATTTGTAACCAAAACATATAAAACTCTTGCAACTCAATAAGATGACAAATGACCTAATTTAAAAATGGGCAGAAGATCTAGACTTTTCATTAAAGAACATATAAGAATGGCCATTAAGCACATGTGAAGATATTCAACATCAAATATTACTTCAAGCCCACTAGGATGGCTAAAACTAAAAATATGGACAATAGCAATTGTGGATGATGTGGAAAAACTGGAACCCTAAACACACTGCAGGTGGGAATTTAAAATGGTATGGCTACTATGAAAAACACTTTAGTAGTTTCTTAAAAAATTAAAAATTTATAAGATTCAGTAATTACACATCTAGATAAATACCACAAAGAAAGGAAAATTTACAAGGGACTAAAATTTTTACAAGAATGTTTGCAGCAGCATTTATGTTATCAAACAGGAAACAATCTAAATGTCCACCTACTGGAGAAGACCAAATATTGATTATCTATATAATGGAATACTATGCAATAATAAAAGGAACTACTGATAAATACTACAACCCGAATGAACCTTGAAAACATTGTTATAGAAAATAAACCAGATGCAAAAGACCATAAATTATATGATTCTATTTATATGAAATGTCCAGAAGAGGCAGATTAGTGGTTGCCTGGGGGCTAGACATGAGTAATAATTGCAAACAGGCATAAAGGAATTTTGAGGGTGATTAGTTTTGGGCTGGGGATGTGGCTCAAGTGGTAGCGCGCTCACCTGGCATGTGCACGGCCCTGGGTTCGATCCTCAGCACCACATACAAAGATGTTGTGTCCGCCAAAAACCAAAAAATAAATATTAAAAAATATTCTCTCTCTTTCTAAAAAAATGTTTTCATAGTTTAAATTTTGTAGCATCTGAACTGTACTATCAGTCCAAGAAATGAGAACAAAAACTTATAGGGGGGTGTGGCAATAAATATTTAATGAATTCAACAGTGAGCTGAAGGGAATAAAACATGTGTTGGGCCACAGAAATGTTCCAGTTTCAGAAAGGTGATCAATTGGCTCAGTCAATATGCTCTCACCACCTGAAGCACAGCACATTTAGTTCAAAGGAACATGTTTAAAAATTGGATATTGATGAACTTGGACCCAAGAAAGCTGCCAAATTTGGAAAGGGGAGAAGAAACCATGACCCATGAGGAATGGTTTGGAATGAAGACCTAAAAACAAACCCTTTGGGGAAGGAAGAAGAGTCCTGAGAAGAAGACCCGACCTATTTCTTAGACTTTTGGAGAGCTATTCTGGAAACAGCACCAGATAGAATTTGGACCTTTAAAACAAAAACTTTCAACAACTGCAGCCTGAGAAAATAGAATGTCTGTCCTAGGAACGGAAAGGGAACAATGGAGTTGTTGAAGCACAGGCTGGTGCAGATTCGCGTGGATGTGATGGGAGTGGGAGGACTACAGGACTCTTGTGGTGTCTTCCAAGGTCTCTGGCACTTCCAGAGTAGGTAACCAGCCATGATATGCATCATATGCAACACAGAGGTGAAAAATCCCATTTACTGTGTATCCTTGGAGTGTGCAATTCTATTTTTTGCTTAAAATCTTCTTTAATTCCTGCTTATAATATTGTAGTCATTCAAAACCAGAAAACAGTCTAAAGATAAATTCCATCAACAAAATACATTTATTCAGGCCCTTAGGGTGGGAAGATAAAAAAGACAAAAACAAATGCTTACTAGGACACAGAGAAATTGGAATACTCAGGTTGCTAATGGGGGTTTAAAAATGGTGCAGGTGCTCTGGAAAACAGTGTGGCAGTTCCTCAAATGGTTAAAGATAGAGTTGTCATATGTTCCCATAATTCCACATCTGGGGTATATACCTAAGAGAAGTGAAAACATATGGCCACACAAAAGCTTGTAGATGAATGTTCACTGTAGTTTTGTTCATGATAGCCCCAAAGTGGAAACAACCCAAATGTCCATAGTCTGATGGATAAATGTGTTATATTCACACAATGGAATATTATCTGTCTATAAAAAGCAACGAATATGGACTACAATGTAGCATGAAAACATGCTAAATGAAAAAAGTCTGTCACAAAAGACTACACATTATATGATTCCATTTATATAAATTATGAAGAACAGGTAAATCCATACAGATGGAAGTAATTCGTGGTTGTCTGTGGGCTGGGACAAATGTGGGAAATGGGAAATGAAGACTACTGACACATAAAAATTTATTTGGAAGGGTGTAAAAAATGATGGTTGCATAATTCTATCAATAAACTAAAAACCACTATATACTTGAGTTAAATTTTATGACGTGAATTATAAAATGTTTGTTTATGTATGCAAACAAATAAATGTGGAATATTAAGGTTTGGGAGTAAAAAGTTTAACATGCTTTATGGTTGATTACTCCTGTTACTGAAAAGGGGACGTAAGAACAATGGGGAGGGTGGTGGCGCGGGGGATGGGGGATGGTAGACTAGAGGGAAGCAGCGTTTATTGTAGTTTGGTGACCAGGGATTCAAGCAAAAGGAATACTGCTTCTTTGTGAGGTGGGTGAAAGGGATTTCACTAAAACTCAACAAAACTAGAAGCCTAAGTGCCTTAGAGACTTGGAAATTTGGAGAACAAGAAACAAGGAAAAGGGACAAGAATAAAGGCTAAGCTGCTTGAAGGAACAGTGGAATTAACATACAAGGATGGGAAAAGTCAATAAATACAACAGATGGTCTCGGCATGGAAAATCCCGAGATTGGAGGGGTAGTCTGCAATAGGCTGATCCGGAGGCTGTTGGACACAATAAATTGGTAGCAATTGATGCACCATGTTTAACAATCATCCACAGTGAACCGAGGCAGGAGCCATCTGGAACAGAATGTACTATGGTGCCAGCAGATAGAGGAACCAAGAAATCGGATCCCAGAAAATGAGGCTGGCTCCGATAAACAGTACAGGTAAGATAACAGCCACAGGAACTAGTTTGAGCCAAGGAAAATCTGGATAAAATGAGCCATCGAAAGCGTTAGCTTGGGTAATACCAGTTCCGGAGGCTAGGGGAATCTGGCTTCCTCCGCGCTTTGAGATCTGAGGCTAAAAGGACCAGTTGCGGAGGATTCTCTCAGAAACCGACCCCGGGAGGCTGAGAAAGTAGTAGGTTGAGATCTTTAATGGGCTGGTGTGTCCATGGACCAACGTGAGGGTTTGGAAACCTGGACTGGTGTGGTTGGGCCCAGGAGGCTGTGAAGGTTGGAACCCACAAGCCACAGAAGCTGCATGGGACTGGCTCCCTCGACTTAGGAGTCAATGCCTGCGGAGAATCTTGGGAGTATTGTCTCCCAGCATAGGCATCTGATGGGCTCTTAAAAGGTGAGTGGATTTAATATTTTCAGAAAACTAGCTATGCAATAAGCACCTAGGGCCTCGGTGGACCTAAGCTCTGCCCCCAAGACCTCCAGCTAAAGGTACTCATAGAACCCAGCTGTGGTTCACCCTGGAGCAGAGCTGATAGTGTTTTCCACCCCAAACTTCGGTCTTACTGCCAAGAAGGGAAGCAGAGGATTTTGAACTCCAACCAGCATCCCGTGAGAAACATAAAAAAAAAAAAAAAAAAGAAGTTGACAACCTGTGGTCCCTACTCTTGCACCCAGCACATACCTCAAGAAAGAGAAAGGCAGACAGTTGACAGTTGGGCACAGACAGCAAACATATTTCCCATTAACTTTTTGACCACTGCAATGGAAACAACTACTTAATTTTGCATCAGAATTTTTCCCCCCCTAATGTGTTGAATGATTCAGGAACATTTGTACATATACCTATTTGTTTTCTCATTTCTAGTATTTTTTAAAAATGTAGTCTTTTTTTCTTGTTCTGCATGTTGAGGGATAGGATTTTTTATTAGTATATTCAATTTTGTTTTGTATTTTCATAATTCTGTTCCTCTTGTTTATCTTTCTCCCTTTTCTCTTGCTAACAGCCAAATTCTATTGTTTTTACTTTTTAAATTTTTTTACTTCTATTTTTTTCTTCTCCCTCCATATAACTATCACAACCTATGTCACATTTTTAATTTCCACATTCACTTACTGAAAACACAAACCTTTTCTACCCTCACATCTCTTCATTTTTCCTCTTTAACCCTATTCTTAACATCTTATAACTCTAATTGGTATATACAATGCCAGATCCTGCCACTAATGCTGTAGTAATATTATAGAAGTCAAAGATAATACCTATCGTTTCATTTTATGCCAGGCATAAAATGCTTACTTACTGTTTTTACTAGTGGAAACTGCTGATCCTACCAATTGTTTATTGTGCCAATTGACACTGTAGATGTCATAATAGGAACCAAGTTCTTAGTTTATTGCTATATATTGTTTACATAGGTTGTTGCTACTGTTTGGCTCCCCCTAATCTGTGATGTACTGGAAACTAACAGGGACATTATAAGTTTGTAGGGTAGAAACTCTGCTTCTTCAGATACATTTGAACAGATGCAAACAATATAAAAAAGAAAGGGAACAAATCATTCCAAACAACCCAGAATGCCTCAACAACAGACTCCATGACACCACAGTGGAGGAAATGTCAGAGAAGGAATTTAGAAAGGGTCTGGGTTGCAACTGGGGTGCAGTTGTTCTGTCAGATAAAAGATGATATAAGGAATGAAATTAGAAAATACAAGAAGTGAAAGTTCACCTCAGTAAGGAGACAGAGAACTGGAAGACAATCAGAAATCCTCAAAATGAAGGAATCAATAAACCAAATTAAAAATTTGATGGAAAGTAACACCAATAGACGGGATCATTTTGAAGACAGTTTCAGACAACAAAGTACATATATCTTGAAAAATCAAGTTGATCATGGAGAAAAGATGTAAAGAGACCATGACGAGAATTTTCAAGAAATATGGGATAACATTAGGAGGCCAAATCTAAGATTCATAGGGATAGATGAAGACTCTGAAGTACAAACTAAAGAATGCACAATCTTTTCAATGAATAATATCATATTTCCCAAATATTAAGAATGAAATGGAAAAATCAAATATAGGAGGCATAGAGGACTCTAAATTACTTACAACAGACCCACTCCAAGGCACATTATGATGCAAATGCCTAACGTACAGAATAGGAATAGAATTTTGAAAGCTGCTAAACAAAAGTTAAATTTAAGAAAGCTTGAACCACAAAATATACTCAATAAAATATTTCATGAAGAAGAAATGGAGGATAAGAATGAAATCCAGTAGAAGGAGAAACTCTGAACTAGAAGAATAGAAAAGCAAAGGGAAATAAATGAAAATAATAGGAAATAAAATTCATCTCTCAATAACAACACTGAATGTTAATGGACTAAATTCATTAATCAAAAGACAGACTAGACTGAATTAAAAAACAAGACCCAAGCAGGGCAAGGTGGTGCACACCTGTAATCCTAGTGGCTCAGGAGGCTGAGGTAGGAGGATTGTTAGTTCAAAGCCAGCCTCAGCTAAACAAAGTGAGGTGCTAAGCAACTCAGTGAGACCCTGTATCTAAATAAAACACACAAAAAAAGCTGGCAATAAGGCTCAGGGGTTGAGTGCCCCTGAGTTCAATCCCCAGTGCCCCAAAACAACAAAAACAAGGACCAACAATATGCTGTCTTCAAAATACTCACCTCATACGCAAAGACATCCACAGACAGAAAGTGAAAGGATGGGGAAAAAAAAAAAACATATCACTCACATGGATCTCATAAACAAGCAGGTGTTTCTATTCTCATATCAGATAAAGTGAACTTTAAGCAAAAATTAATCAGAAGAGACAAGGAAGCTCACTTCATACTGCTTAAGGGAATCAGACAACAACAGGAAATAACAATCTTAAATATTTATGCCCCAAACAATAGAGCATCTATGTACATCAACCAACCCTTCTCAATTTCAAGAATCAAATAAACCATGACACAATAATTCTGGGTGACTCTAACATGCCTCCCTCATTACTAGATAGATTTTCTAAACCAAAACGTAATAAAGTAGCTACAGAATCATATATATAGAGAGAGAGAATTTCTTTCATCGATGACTGAATATACTTTCTGAAACAGACCACATCTTAGGCCACAAAACAACTCTTAGAATACAGGGTATTATATCTCTTTTTTTATTTACTATCAGATCATAATGGAATGAAATAAGAAATCTACTATATGATAAAAATAGAAACAGCTGGGGAATAAATAATTCACTGTTGAATAATGAATGGATTAATAGAAGAAATCAGGGGTGAAATAAAAAATACTTAGAAGCAAATGAAAATAGAGATACAACACATCAAAATCTCTAGGACACTATGAAGGCAGTTCTAAGAGGAAAGTTCCTAGCACTGAGCTCATTCATTAAAAGAACAGAAAAGTACCAAAGGAATAATCTAACATTACAAGGCCATAGAAAAATAAGAGAAAAAAAAAAACCTACACCCAAATCAATAGAAGATAGAAAATAATAGAAATCAGGAAAAAAAATCAACAAATTTGAGATAAGAAATTCAAAGTATCAATGAAACAAAAAGTTGGTTCCTTGAAAAATTAACAAAATTCATAAACCCTTACCTAGGCTAACCAAAAGAAAGAGAAAAAACTATAATTGTTAAAATCTGTGATAAAAAAGGAAGTATCCCCACAAACACTAAATAAAAAGGATAATCAGAAATTATTCTAAAAATTTATACTCCAATAGGCTAGAAAATCTTAATTACATTAACAAATTCCTATAGATATATGCCCTACCTAAAATGAACCAGGAAGATACAGAAAATTTTAAATGACCAATTTCCAGTAAGGAAATTGAAGCAGCTATCAAAAGCTCACCAGAAAAGAAAATCACAGGACTGGACAGACTCTCAGCAGAGGTCTAACAGAACTTTGAAGAAAAGCTAATACCAGTCCTCCACAAATTATTCCACAAAATAGAAAAGGCTAGAATTCTTCCAAACACATTCTATGAAGCTAATATCACCCTGATACCAAAACCAAAGACATATCAAAGAAAGGAAACTTCAGACCAAAATAGTTGATGAACATAGATGCAAAAGTTCTTAATACCGGTAAACCACACACAAAAATACATTAAAAACATAGACACCATGGTCAAGTAGATTTCATCCCAGGGATGCAAGGTTCAACATATTGAAATCAATAAATGTAATTCATCACATAAACAGACTTAAAAACAAAAATCACATGATTACCTCAATAGATGCAGAAGAAGCATTTAACAAAATACAGCATCCATTCATGTTTAAAACATTAGAAAAAATGGGAATAGAAGGATCATACCTAAACATTATAAAAGCTATAAGATAAACCCAAGGCTAACATTACTCTAAATGGAGAAAGATTTAAAGCATTCCCTCTAAAAACTTGAACAAGACAGGGATACCCACTTCCACTACTTCTACTCTGTAGTCCTTGAAAATCTAACCAGATCAATTAGGCAAATGATGGAAATTAAAGGGATATGAATAGGAAAAGAAGAACTCAAACTATCCCTATTTGACAACAACATGATCCTATACTTAGGAGACCCAAAAAACTCTACAACAAAATTTCTAGAACTCATAAATGAATTCAGCAAAGTATCAGGATACAAAATTAACAGCCATAAGTCAACTGCAATCAGCTGAAAGAGAAATTAGGAACACAATCCCATTCACAATGGTCTCAAACAAACACATACACACACACACACACACACACACACACACACACACACACACAAAACTTGGGAATCAATTTAACAAAAGAGGTGAAGGACCACTACAATGAAAACTACAGAACACTAAAGAAAGAAAATGAAGACCTTAGAAGATGAAAAGACCTCCCTTCTTGGATAGGCAGAATTAATCTTGTCAAATGGACATACTACCAAAAGTGCAATGGAGATTCAATGCAATCTCTATCAAAATTCCAATGATATTCTTCACAGAATCAAAAAAAAAAACGGTCATGAGATTCACCTGGAAAAATAAGAGGCACAGAATAGCTAAAGTAATCTTTAGTGAGAAAAGTGAAGCAGGAGGCATCACAATCCCAGACGTTAAATTACACTACAGAGTTACAGCAACAAAAATAGCATGGTATGGCACTAAAAAAGACATGAAGACCAATGAAACCTAACAGAAGACAGAGAGTCAGACCTACATAAACACAGTAATCTCATACTAGATGAGGTGAAAAAACACACTAGAGAAAAGAGCCTCTTCAACAAATGGTTCTGAGAAAACTGGAAATCCATAGGTACCCCAAATGAAATTAAACCCTAATCTCTCACCCTCCACCAAACTCAATGTGGATCAAAGACCTAGAAATTAGATCAGAAACCCTGCACCTACTAACTTACTGGCTCAGGAACTGACTTCTTTATAACAAGACTCCCAAGAGTACAAGAGGTAGAATTTAAAAAATCAGTAAATGGGAGGGTATCAAACTAAAAACTTCTTCACAGCAAAGGAAACAATTAAAAGTGTGATGAAAGAGCCTACAGAATGGGAGAAAATCTTTGCCACCTGCACCTCAGATAGAGCATTAATTTCCAAAATATATAAAGAACTCAAAAATCTTAGCACCAAAAAAAAAAAAAAAAAGTCCACCACCCAATCAATAAATGAACAAAGGAATTGAACGGACACTTCTCAGAATAAATTCCAATGATAAACAAAATATATGAGGAAATGTTCAACATCTTTAGCAATTTGAGAAATGCAAATTAAAACTACACTGAAATTCCATCTTACACCAGTCAGAATGGCAATTATCAAGAATACAAGTTATAATAAATCTTGGCAAGAATGTGGAGAAAAAGGCACACTCATACATTGCTGGTGGGACTGCAAATTGGTGCAACCACTCTGGATAGCACTATGGAGATTCCTCAGAAAACCTAGAATGGAACTACCATTTGATTTAGTTATCCCATACCCAAAGGACTTAAAATCAGCATTCTATAGTGTTTGTGGCCACATCAATGTTTGTGGCAGCTCAATTCACAATAGCTAAGGTATGAAACCAGCCAAGGTGTCCTTCAACATATAAATGGATAGAGAAAATGTGGTATATATACACAATGGAATATTACTCAGCCATAATGAAGAATGAAATTGTGTTATTTGCCAGTGAATGGATGGAAATGGGACTATCATGCCAAGTGAAAAAAGCCAATTCCAAAAAACCAAAGGCACAATGTTCTCTCTGACATGCAGATGCTAATACACAATGGTGGGGGGAGTGGTAGACATTCACTTAATTATACAAAGGGGAAGGAAGGAAAGAGAGGATGGAATAGAGAAGACAGTAGAATGAACTGGACATAACTTTCCTATGTTCATATGTGAGTACACAACCAGTGTAACTCCATATGATTTATAACCACAGAATGAGAAGTTATACTATATGTATGTCAAGAGTTTAGGGTACAGAGCAAGAAAATGAGCCCAGGGCTAAAGGGATCAATTAACACATGGGAAAAAGCAGAATGTTGACAAATCATCATAAAAATGGTATAGAGGGTGGTAGAGCTAGAAGACATGGGTCCCAAAGGATTGGGTTTTTTTTTTTTCTTTTTTTCATGTCATGTCAGGTTTGAAAAATTACAAACTTGAAGTAACTTTTTTTTCTTCAGATTCTCCCAAATATCTTTCTTCTTGATTAAGAACTATGAAGATTATGATCACCCTAACATGCATGACTCTAAAATCTTTATTTCACTTGAGACCAGATATACCTAATTTGTTAGATATTTTCACATGGCTGTTCTGGTCCCATGTCTGATTTAATAAATAAAGTTCCAATCTTCATATTCCAGTAAGAATTAGTTTCCTCTTCACATCTTTCCATTTTCATAAGGTGTCCACATATTATTATAGTTTTCTTGGATTAAAATGTCAAAAGAACCATGATAATTAAGTACTAAACCCAACTGATTAGAGTCTAGCTTAACAGAAGTCTAGATTTTTCTAATAATTTATGAATTTTACTTTCTAATTTAAAAAAAATCTCTATTGACAAATAACTATATGGAAATATAAAGGGCAAATCTAAAATCTAATATTTTAAAAATTCAACTTAAAGCATTGGCAAATATTAAAAAGACTGATACTATTCAAGAGTTGGCAGGGGATGAAGAAACACGTACTTTCATTTCTTTTTAGTTTTATTGTGTGTAAAGTTTCTGGAGGGCACAGATATATAACTTATAGATTACAGTATTTCCATGTCCTTTTATTGAAAACCTTTTTTAGTTGTAGATGGACACATACCTTATTTATTATGTGGTGCTGAGGCTCAAAACCAGCACCTTCACATGCTAAGTGAGAGTATTACCACTGAGCCACATCCCTGGCCCCAGTCTTTCCATTTCTATTAGTGATACACTTAGGTTTTAAAACTTCTTGCCCAATTTTCTTAATTTTCTCAGAAAATCATACTTATTTATAACCTAAATTTTAAAACCTATTAGCTTAAAGTAGCATAGTATATATTTAATATTTTTATATTAAAATATTATACTTTAAATAAAAATATTACACCCTTCCTACATGACTAATGTCGATATCCATTTTTCCCTGGTAATAATAAACAAAGACTGGCTTACTGTTCTTTTGAATGAATCAGATCTTCGTTATACTGATCAATTTGGGGACTGATTATTAACTCATACATTCATTTTACTACTTCCTGAATTTCTTTACTTATTTGGTAGTCTTTTTCCAGTCTAGAATGCATAATTCTATTTTCTAGTTTATTTTATTCAATACTATTTAAAACTGAAAACTTTCCTCTTTATAGATTTAGCCACATTCCATGAATTTTGATGTGCTATATTTAAATGGGGAAAAAAACCACTGTAATTTCAGTTTTTGATTCTTATATAACCTGGAAGTTTATATAAATTTAGAACAATGTTTTCAAATTTTCATGTATATAATTTAAAAATTATAGTTAAGTTCCAATTTTGCTGTATCGTGGTTAAAGAATATAAGCTTACTTATAAAATGTTTACTTTTAGGATTTATCAACCTTTTGCCTAATATACAATTAATTTTAATAAATATTCTATAGGTATTTGGAAAAACTATGGATGCTATGTTTGGGGAATGAAGTTTCATGAAGACATTTTAAATAAACCTTGTTGGTATCATTAAAATCTTCCATATCTTTCCTCATCTATGTTATATGTTCAAATCTGAGAAAAGCATATTAAAGTATCTCACTCATTGTACTTTTGTCATATTCTTTATTATGATCAGATTTGGATGAATGAACAAATGAATGAATTCTGGTTGAAAGCAGAGCAGGGTCTCTAAAAGATACTCTTTCTTCCTTTATGAATTACATAATGGGGATATGGTTGGTGCTCAAGACAAGCAGCATCTAATTAAAAAAAAAAAAAAAAGGTCCGTTGTATAGAAATTTGTATTTCTTCTTCTTCAAAAAACTGGAAATTACTGGCAGAGAAGTAGAAATGGACATTTTCAAGCATTCCAGGCAGAAATGTAGACTGGAAAGAAATTTGGTATTTGGTAGAAATTAAGTATACATGCAGCTTATATTCCTAAAACTCTGATTATATACATTAAGACACTCTCAGACAGTTTAAAAAGGTCCAGATATGTTTTGTGGTGCTGAGGCGTTGACAGCAACCTGGGTGTTCATCACTGTGTTCATCACAGTTCATGGGCTAACTGATAGATACCTCATATATTATAATTAGAAACTTGGATTAAATGTACTTAAAGCAATGTGGGAGGATCCTGAAAATACCTTTAGTAAGCATAAGAAAAATAATGATATTTTTATATAAATTAAAAAATACATGCATACATACCAAATAATTATTTTAAGTATGCATGTAAACCAAAAGATATTTACATAATAAGGACAGTTACCTGTGGGGAGGCAGGGATAAGTATAAAGGGAAAAATTTTAAATAAGCAGTCACAAACCCTAATTAGAATAAGATATACTCAATGTTGGTATAAATATGTCAAAATAGACTCTATTTTCATGTATAACTAAAAAGAACAAATAAAAATATTTAAAAATCAGTCACAAACTGACAAGCCACATTTAACTCAACCCTCAGCACCTGATGTTAAAAGAAATTCTACTTTGTCTCGATATGGAAACTGTACACATTACTTCTCTAATCTACTTCTTTCACTATACTTTTGGAAGGATTCATTTAGACTATATTCAAGGTTCAAAATCTTCTTTTAGAAATCCATGAGAAGCATAAGAATTTACCTTTCCCACTCTTTATTCTATTAGTGTTAAACAAAAACAACTTTTATGTTTTCTTACTAGAAAATATATTTGGCAAGGGTGCCCAAACTGTTTTATGGGGGTAAGAATTGTCTTTGCAAGAAATGGTGCCAGGACATCTGGCTATCAACATGCAAAAGAATAAAGCTGTATCTCCTACCTCACACCACATACAAAACTTAACTAGTCTGGGTAACTTAGCTAGACCCCATCTCAAAAGAAAATCAAAAAGTCTAAGAATATAGCTCAGTGGTAGAATACTTGCTAAGCATGTGGAGACCCTAGGTTCAACCCATAGTACCACTGAGCCCCTTTAAAAAAAAAAAGTCAAAAAAGTCACCATATAACCTAGGAGTTCCATTCCTAAGTATTATTCCTAAGAGAACTGAAAAAATAGGGTCACAAAACCTTCTTTTATAGCAGCATTATTTATGAAAGTAAAAAGACAGAAATAACAGTGTCCTTTAATACATGAATATATAAACAAAATCTAAAACCACATAATGGATTTTATTCAGCCACAACAAGAAATGAACTACTGATATATGCTAAAACATGAATGAATTCTGAAAATATGCTATGTGATAAGAAGCTGGACATGAAAGGCCACAAATTGCCCTTTACATAAAGTGTCCCAAATAAGTAAATCTATAGAATCAGAAAGCAGTTTAGTACAGGGCAAAGGTATGTGGAATAGAGATGAGGAGAAATATGAAGTGATTCTAATGGGCACAGGGTTTCTTTTTTGGAGAGACAAAAATGTTTGGGTATTAGTGGTAAAGACTGAACGATCTTTGAACATATTAAAAAAAACACTAATCATATACTTAAAAGGGTGAATTGTATAGCATATGAATTTTATCTCAAATAGGAAAAAAATTAAGAGATTGACCAATACTGAGGCATACTCTGGAAAACTAATGAGACCCCAAACCAAAAACCAACCGAACAAACAAAAAACCCCAGCCAATCAATTAAACAAAAATCTACAAGAATTCGGGGGGTAGGTCGAGTGCAGGGCAGAAAACATACTGAGGAAAAATAACATCAGTGCTGAAACATGTGCCCAGAAAAGGAGGAGCAAAATTAATAGAATTTTGATTTAAGGATTGTTACCCAAAAATTTTATGTTCAACCAAGTTGTTTTTGTAAAAGGGTATTTTAAAAGATGCTCATTTCTAACATTTGTTTAAAAATCAAGTTACCCAAATAAATAATCTAAAATTAACAAATTTGTGAAGAGTTATATGAAGACCTTGGGGTAAAAATTGATTCTACATTTTAAAACATAACTAATTTAAAATAAATGGTAATCTTGCTTATAAAATTAAAGTAAAAATAGGAAGAAAAACATACACACTTTTTCTGTTTTTGTGTGTATGCACAAGAACACTTGTGTGTATGGTGCTGGGGAAGGAAGAATACAGAGCCTTGTTTGTGCCAAGCAAGTGCTCTACCACTAAGCTGCATCCTTAGTCCCTATAATTCTTGAAAGTAAAATTCAATGTAGTAACAATACTACTATAATGAACTGTGATAAAATTTGTAAAGCATAACAATTATTGGTTGGTTGGTTAGGAAGTATGCATGTGTGGAGGTAGGTGGCAGAAGTACACTCAGTTTCTTAATTTTTCTTATGACAGACAACAGGTAACTGTTTCATATATGAGAGTAAGAGATTGAGAAAGTGATTTAAGCAATTAGTTAATTATATTACATGGCTTTACTTTATCAGAAAAACTCAAAAGAAACATGAACTAGATAGCAAAAAACAAGACTAAAAACAAGAAGCAATCATTAAAACTTTAAGAAATACTAAATATTGAAAACAATATTGAAAGAGAAAAAGTTGGAGGACTTGCACTTCTTGATTTCAAAATATAAACAAAGACATAGCAATCAAGACAGTATGATATCTGACTAAAGACAGATAAATGAAATACAAGAGAAAGCCTAGAAATAAACCCTCACATGTATGTCAAATGACTTTAGTCAAGGCGCCAAGATCACTCAATGGGGAAAGCATAGTCTTTTCAATAAATGGTGCAAGGAAAATTGGATAACCACATGCAGAAGAACTATTAACTCAAAGGCCTAAACATAAGACCTAAAATCATAAAACACAGAGGTAAAAGCTTCATGACACTGACCTTGGCAGTAATTTCTTGGATATGACACCAAAACCAAAAATAGACAAATGAGAAATTAAAAACTTGCGCATCAGGAGACACATTGGACGAATGAAAGGCAACCCATCTCAAGTCTCAAACTTGAGATCTTTCTGCTTCGGTCTCTTACCCATGAAATGGGTAAGAATTATGAAAATCATGTATCTGATAAGCAGTTAATATCCAGAATATAGAAAGAACACTTACAACTCAAAACAAAAATCAACTTGACTAAAAATATGGGCTAAGGATTTGAACTGACAATTCTCCAAAGGTGAATGGTCAAAATAACAGGAAAAGATCTTCTAGTAATTCTTCTTAAAGAAATGCAAATCAAAACCATAATGAGATATCTTCTCATACCCATTAGAGAGGTTATTATAATAAAGTGTTGGTGAGGATATGGAGAAATTGGAACTCACTGGTGGCATTATAAAAATAATACAACTGGTTGGGAATGGTGGAGTATGCCTGTAATCCCATGACTAGGGAGACTGAAGCAGGAAGATTTCAAGATTGAGACCAGCCTTAGCAACTTAGCAAGACCCTGTCTCAAGATAAAAAAAAATAATAAAAAATAAAAAAGGATGTGGATGCAACTCAGTGGTAGAGCACCTCTGAGGTTCAATCCCCAAGACAAAAAAAAACCAAAAAAACAATGCTATGGAAAACAGTATTGAGGTTCCTCAAAAGGTTAAAAATAGAATTATCATATAATCCAACAATTTTTCTTCTGGGTATATAACCAAAAGAAATGGAAAGCAGGATCTCAAAATACATTTACATTCCTATGTACATAGCAGCACTATAGCTAAGGGGTGGAAGAAACCCAAATGCCTACCAATGTATGAATGGATATACAAAATATGGAATACACATACAATGGGATATTATTCAAACTTCAGGAATAAAATCCTGTCATCTGCTACAACACTGATGAACTTGAGGACATTATGCTAAGTGAAATAAGTGTCAAAAACAAATACTGTATGATTCCGAAACAAGAGGTATCAGAAGTAGTAAAATTCAGAGAAACTAAAAGTAGACCAGTAATGGCCAAGAGTTAGTGGAGAGGGAAAAGGTGAGTCAACGCTCAGTTTCAGATTTTTAAGATGAAAAAGTTCTGGAGATCTATTTCACAACAATGTGAACATGTTTAACACTACTGACATATATATTCAAGAGTGGTTAAGAAAACCAGCCTAGATGTCCATCAATGATTGAATGGATCAAGAAAATGTGGTGTCTGTATGTGTAGACATATACATATATACATATACATATGTATATGCATACACATATACATATACACATACACACACACAATGGAATTTTACTCAGCCATAAAGAAAAATGAAATTGTCATTTACAGGAAAATGGATGGAACTTGAGAATATTATGTTGTGTGAAATAAGCCAAACTCAGAAGATGGTCAAAATTCATGTTTTCTTTCACATGTAGAAGCTAGAGAGGAGAAAGGAAAAGAAAGCTTGGGGGAGATCTCATGAAAATTGAAAGGAGATCAGTAGAATAGTGGAAAGGAACCAGGGGAGAGAGAAGAAGGAAAGGGGAAATACTAAGAAATGATACTAGCCAAACTATATTTGTGTGCATGTTGGAATATGTAACAACAAATTCTACCACTATGTACAACTATATTGTACCAATAAAAAATGTGGGGGGAAAAAAAGGAAACAGAATAGTTAAGATGGCACACACCTGCAATCCCAGAGACTTGGGAGGCTGAGGCAGTAGGATCCCAACTTCCAGGCCAGCTCAGTGACATAGC